ACAGCCTGCAGATGGATTCACAGTGGGGGTTTTTGTTCTGTTAACTGAAATAGTTACCAAGAGGAGATTTCATCTCAGTGTGTATGTTCTGGCCATGGCAGAATCTGTGGGCTGCCTATCAAAGAGCTGTGTTCCTCTTCCCCAGTAAGAATGCTGGTTTTGTTCTCGTGTTTTGCTCAGGAAAAGTGGGTCCCCACCCCCCACACTCCCAGCGGATGGGCCATGTCATCCCACTCATCCCACTCAGGGTGGCTCCTGGACCCGTGAGAGGTCTGCGCCACCGGCAACAGAAACAGGCTTCGGCTATTTGAGCAGAAGACAGTTGTTATATGTTGGAAGCCATTGACCACAAAGCAATTATGAAGCTCAAGCTCCAGGGCCCCTTTCTTGCATGGCCCCCTGTGAAGGTTCAAGGTTAAGTTAGGGAAGCCAGGTTGCATTTCTATAGGAACATTTGGGGGAAACAACTAGGAGAAAGGGACCTGAACCTCCCACTGTCCAATTTTTGATATGACTTGTTTACTCATCCTAAATAAATGTTCACTGTCATGCTTAACTTTCCATGCTATGAATTAGATGATAGAAATGTTAGATTATAGGGGCCTCCCCGGTGGCGCAGCGGTTGAGCGCTGGGTTGCGAAGCTGCCCGCGGCCTCTGAGGCGCCAGTTCAATCCCCGGCTGCTCCCCGGCCACCGGAGGAGGGTCCCACATGGCGCGCAGACCTCTCCTGCCGCCCGCTGCTCCCCTCAGCAGTGTACTTCGGTCCTTCTGCCTGCTCTGCTCCCTGCTCTGGCTCTGGTGAATTCTCTCACCCTCCCGCGCTTCTGACTGTACCCAGTGCATGTATGAACAAAACAAACAAACAAACAAACAAATAAATAAATAAAAAACATGCCTCTATAAAAAAAAAAAGAAATGTCAGATTATAGACAATGATTTTAAAGGAGTAACTATAACTATGCTCAAGGTAGTAAATTAAAATATTTTCATATTAAATGAACACATAAGAAATCCCACTACAACCTCTCCTGTCTTGCCCACTGCTCCCCTCAGCAGTGTATTTCAGTCAATCCATCTGTTCTTCTCCCCACTCTGTCTCTGGTGAATCCTCTCACACACCCACCCCCCCACACCTCTGGCATGTACCCCAGCTCTTATATGCATAAATCAATAAATCTTTTTTTTTTTTTTTAAAGAAATTCGACTATGTATAAAAAAAACTAAATGGAAACTTCAAAACCAGAAATTCAAATATTTCAAGGGAGGCTGAAAAAAGTGAGTCTCCTGCAAGGGTAGGATTCATGAAGCTGGAAATTCTTCAGATATAGCCAGGTTGTTCAAAGGCCACTAGACATGGCAAGTGTCTGGAAAGCCTGTGACCAGTTCTTTCTAATGAAATAAAATGGATAGAATGTTCTGATATAAAGAGAGAAAAGTACAAGGAATGATAACCTCTTATCCGCTACTGTTCTCTTTTCTGCCTTTAACACCATGGTCCCATGAGAACATGATGGTGTTTGGAGCTATGGCAGCCACTTTGCAACCCTGAGGGGAAATAGTTAAGTAGGGCACACAAGAAGCTAGACTGGAAGCCTGAAACCATGGGTTTGCTGAACATACCACGGCACCACCCACCTCTGAATTTCTTGTCACGTTGAAATAATAATAAAGAGGTCTTAATTGCATACTTGTTACTTAGAGTACACCCGAATTAAAATATGACTTCTTTAGGAAATGGAGAGATTTGACAATATTGAGCCTGTTAGCCTCTTTAGATAGGCAGGCACTCTCTGATTAGTGATCTCATATTTTCCCTCCAGGTAACTGAGTCTGTCTTAGCCCTACACATCATCCTAGAGATAGATCAGCTGGGCCCTCTTTACAAAGCATGTACCCATTCCTGCCTCCCCGCATCCAACCCCAAGCAGCCAGCAGAAATATCCTATCCATACAACTCCCGGGGTTTTGTCATTGTCTCTTTTCTAGCGCCTATTGTATTGCCCATTTCATCCCCTCCCATTTGGCTATCAGCATTCTGAGGGCAGGCCTGTGCCTTATTCTCCCTCTGCTACCCACAGGGGTGTTTGGTTACAGGAGACACTCAAGCTATGTTTGCTGAATAGGTGAATAAACATCCCCTGCAATGAAGAACTACAGTGTTCCAGAACATGCAGAACATCTCAGCACATCAAGGAGATTTTAAGTGGTGGTGTGTGCTACTTCTCAGCCCAGGAGAGAAATTCCCACTATACTCCAATACTCCAGCGCACCTTGGGCTTCTCAGTCCCGACACGTGGGGCGCAGAGACAATTCTGAAGCTTGGGTCCCAGGTCCAGCCAGAGACCCCAGGCCCACTGCAGCTCTCCCACTGTTCTGGAAACATGCTGGGGTAAAAGCAATTGGGAAAGACCCTTCCCGGAATAATCCAGGAAGAACTGCCACCACCACAAAGGGAAAGATGGAAATTTACACACACAGAGATTTCCCTGTTTTACAAAAAAGAAAAATCAGGCAACTTGAAAACACATATACACACACCAGTCAGGATCCAAAGGAGAGAGCAGGCAGCCCCATGGCTCTGTCCCCAGGGGCTGTGTTCCTGAGCGCAAGGCCCCTCAGAGCACCTCGAGCTGTTGACAAGTCCTGAGGAGCAGGACTTACTCTTCTGTCACTCCTGGATCTGACTTAACCTAAAAATGCTTCCTGAATTGATGGTGGATTTTCAGTTCCAGCTTTTGACAGATTTTCTCTTGGAATCTGACTCTTGGGTCTAGACTTGGCTATTTTTTTTTTTTTAAATTATGGTGAAAAAAAAAAACAACAGATGACATAAAATTTGCCATCTTAACCATTCTTAGCATGCAATTCAGGAAAGTACATTCACACTGTTCTGGAGCCATCACCACCATCCATTTCTAGAACTCCATGGTCCCAACTGACAATGTTGCACCATTAAACTCTTACTCCCATCCCTCTGCCTGAAACCAGACAACCACCACGCATCCTTTCTGTCCCTGTGAATGTGACTGAGCTAGATCTCTCCTATGGATGGAGTCATGCAGTATTTGTCCTTTTGTGACTGGCTTGTTCCACTCAACGTAATGTTCTCAAGGTTAATCTAAATTGTAACATGTGTCAGAATTTCCTTTCTTTTTAAGGTTAAATTATATTCCATTGTAAGCGTGTATGACATTTTGCTTATCCATTCATCCATCAGTGGACATTTGGAATGCTTCCACCTTTTGGCTATTGTGAGTTGCTGTGAACATGGCTGTCCAAATTTCACTTCTTTTGTGGGCCTGGCCTTTGATTTCCCCTAACTCAGTCAAGAGCTGGATCGTGGTCAAGGAATTCTCTAAGTTGGTCTCTACTCCACAGGGAAGGGAAACAGAATCCCACGTGGGGCTCTCAGGTGATGTTATGAGTTGAGGGAGCCAGAGTCGAGCCGACTGGGGGCCCCTTCGTGCTGGAGACAACTGTGCAAGAAGCAAGAGAGAGTGGGGAATGTGCACTGCCTGTGCGGGAGGAGACACATACCAGTGCATGGAGGAGAAGAGCAGGACAAGGGAGGCCTCTGTTCCCCAAAGGGCAGGCATGCCGCAGAGGTGACCCCAGGGGCTTGAAAGGGCAGTCCGGGCTATAGGGGCAGAGGTTATGAAAAGGGAGAGGATGCTGAGACTAGTGCTATTCAGAAGGCCTCAGTTAGAGCAGTCCCAGCCTTGGGGTGGGGGGATGGGGAGCAGGCGTATGGAATCTTCTCTGTTGATTGATGGCCCCAGGTCAATGAACTCCTCTAGCAGGAGAGAGGCACAAAAACAGAAATTCAAAGGGCTGCTGCTGGAGTAGGGGGTGGGTTGGGGGTGCCGTGAGGCAGGGATGGTGCTTATGTGTCTCTATCCTTGACCTTCAGAGCTGTGGGCTTTAGTATTAGTGGGAGGGTGGACAGACTATAGCTGGGAGGCAGAGAGGGGTCTGGACACCCGTGAATCCCTCTCACTGTCAGGGAAATGCACTTTCAGCTGGATACACGATATTGGTATTGTTTTGTGCCCAAGTGTCTCAGTTCATGTGCCTGATGATGACAGCCTGGCAAGGCAGCAGCCACTAAAGGGGAAATGCATTGCTTCTGTGGCCCTCTGAACATCTTAAAGTATAAAAATTATTTAAGCATGCCCCTTAAATGTCATACCAAGGTACAGATTTGAGGCTCTCGTTGCAGCCCAAGCCAAACTTAGGGGTTCCGCTGTAACCTAGCTGCCAAGGAGGGATGCTGCTGGGGATAGTTTCAGCAGTCCCCTTCCCACTTGGTAACTCCAACCCAAGGAACTCCTGATTTGATACGCATGCTCACCTAACCCTCCCAAGCAAAATGGAACTCTCAGGAAGAACTTGGAGGCAGGCTGTCCCCTTAATTCACCTTCTAGACTGTTCTGAGATCCCCAGAGTCTGTGGGGTCAGCCTGGGTGTAGTGATATGCATCTGAGGCTAGATTCAGGTGCTAAGGAGCCTGTTGGCTTAGTTTTGGACTAACACTGGAGCCAGAGGCAAAGATGGCCTGATGTCTCCTCATCCCAGAGACATCCCAGTGATGCAATGTCCCAACCAGCACCTCTCCTGCATGCGGGTGGGGTGGGGGTGAGGGGTGGAGAGCTGTATACTATGTAGGCTTGCTCTCTCGAGCTTGGTTACTCAAGTCCACACCTTAATAATGACCGGACTGGGCCTCCCTGGTGTCCCGCGCAGGGGTTAGACAGTGCTCTCAAGCTATCGTCAGCCACTGCAGCACGAGTTCCATCCCTGGCAGACCAGGGAGAAACTCACATGGCGCAACAGACCTCTCCTGTCTCACTGCTCCCCTCAGCAGTGTATTTGGGTGGATCTGCCTGTTCTGCTCCCCACTCTGTCTGTGGTGAATCCTCTCCCCCCTCCGCCACCTCTGGCCTACACCCCAGTTCTTATATGCATAAATAAATAAATCTTTAAAAAAAAAAATACTGACCGGACTGATAGAAGAGACTATTCATGCTGAGATCCCACAGGAGATCAAAGGCTCTTGAAGAAGTTTCTGGAGGCCATGAAAACAGCTGGGAGGAGGAGGAAAACAACAGGTTAGCTGGGTCATTTCTATGGAGTAAGAGTAGCAAACCTTTATTATTCCATATTAAATAAATGTTCCTATCCCTAGAGCTTAGTATGTAGTAGGTCCTCAACTGAGGTCTTCAAATAAATGAATGAATCCTACTATTATTCTGGGAAATATGTTTCAAGTAGCAAGAAAACCAAAGCCTCAGGATTGAACTATTCAAGTCTATCCTGCTAAGGCTAGTAGCGTGACCATGTGAGTGGCCATGAGGCCACTGTGCCCTGCAGACATCAGCTCCCCTCTGCTTCCTTCTCCTCCAGAGACAAAGATGCTAGGCAGAGCCTCATCCAGAAACCCCCCAAGGCCAAGGGCACTCCTTTCACTGATCTAGTTTTAGCAGTGGTGGGGGAAGAGGGAGATTTTTCCATTTCCTAAAGACAGAGAACTAGTGTCTTCTCTAAACTTTACTCCTTCCAGATAATGCCCTGAGTAGAGCCAAGAGTGGCCCACAAAGACAAAGCAATGCACAGGATTTCCTCATTTAACCTTCACATGGGGTTATCAGCCCCAGTTTACAGAGTAAGAAACCGAGGCATAGAGCTCATCCTAAATAATTTGCCCAAGGTCACACAGCAGTGATGGAGCTGGAAATGACACCTAGCCTGTGGCCTCGGGCCTGGGTCCCAAAGGCGCTCCAGGCAGTGTCAGGTCACACAAGGACCCTCTGTGGGCGACATCTCAGACCGGTTCTTTGTGCTTCCCAAAGCCTGATTGTACGTTTGTCATATGCTGTGCAAGGAGTGATGAGAAGCTGCAATGACTTGGGGCAGAGAATAATGGCCACACTGTTTCCAGTATTGGCCCTCTACTCCCACAAAGGCACCCCCAACCACTGGGTCTGGGGGAGGGGCAAGGGCAGTAGCCACAAATCAGGGTCCAGACTGGGTACTTTTTTAGTTCTGGGGCAAGGAGGGACCATGGAAAGGATCCCAGAGAGAGGGAGGGATAACTTTTTCTGGATAGCAGCCAGTCTGTCAGGCTGAGCAGTTCCTTGAATGATCCACCCTACACGCTGGCTCTAATCTATAGCAGGGGTTCAGGCTCCAACTGGCAGGAAAGGGACCAGCTGGAACTTGTGACCTGCTGGTCCCCAGGCAGGGATGGTCCTGGGTGAGGGCCAAGGCCGGCAAGCTCATGCCTTGCATTCAAATGACAGCAGCTGGTTCCTGCGCCATCCCTCCTGGCTGCCCACTGTCTCAGTGCAAAGGTTTCAAGCCCCAGGGCAGAATGCATGTCTGTCCCCCCACCCCCAAGGGAAAATGCTGCAGCAACAACTGGAAGGGAAGAGAAGAAGCCGGCAGACAGAGCAGCCGTTGGAAGCATTTCTAGCTTACCTACATCTGCACAGCAGGAAGCGAAGGCTCTAACACCTGAACGCCTCTGCTCTAAATGTGCAGCACCCTACTCCTTGCCCCACTTCTCTGAGGGTGCTGCCGGGCTGTGGTGGGCCCTAAGTGGCCCTCTTGCTGCTATGGGATGAAGGCAGGGACTTGGAGTGGAGGTGAGCTTGGGTACAATGGAAGCACCTGTTGAGAAGCATGGACTGAACTGCCCAGGGGGTTGTTTCCAGAGCCACAGGTGACACCCTAGGAGGCACACACTCTGGGCAGGGGGCGGGAGGGCAGGTGAGTGAGATCACTGGCTGGTCCCTGCATCTCCCTGACCCTGACGTCACAAGGCTTCCTTCCTCTTCTTGGGCAAACACTACAGCATCTGAGGCCAGACGAGGGTAAGTGCCCAGCCCCTCCTGCCAGCGGCCCTACCTGGGCTAAGGGGCCAAAACGCTCCCGCCGCCTAGTGGCATGTCCGTGGACCTTACCTGGAACAGCCACCGGAGCAGAGGCAGGGGGCAGTTGGGTGTGTGCAGATAGAGGTTACTCAGGAGGCCTCTTCTGAGGAAGGAGAGCTGCTGGGCCAGTGGGGAGCTGTGGAGCAGAACAACGAGGTTAGAGAAGGCCTTCAGACCTGTCTCAGTAAAAGTGCGGGGGATTTTCGTAGTTCAGCTTCTCTGGGACTCTAGAAGCACATCAGGAATTGCTATGGATGAAAAGAAATGCTTCTCGAGCCCTTGATGCAAGGACTTGTCAGAAACAAAAGCACCACACACCATCAGAATCTGCAATCTGAAAATAGTGCTTGAAACATAACTGAATGGTACATTTTGTCCTTTCCACTTGACAGAGGGGGAAATGAGGTATTCACCAGGACTCTGAAAAGGATCTGTGTGGAGATGAGAGAACTGGGGGTCACACCTCTCTGCCCCAGGCTCGGGCTGCAGCAGGCAGACAGAATTACCCGCCAGGCCCACGTGGGGCCAGCGTCTGGGTCTGGTTACACAGAGGGTTTCTGCCCCGACTTGTGTTTTTCCGAAACAAAGGGGACACCTGAGAAGATGGGGAAATAACACAAAGGGACTCAAGTCGGGGAAATTCTGGGAAGGAAATAACAAAATGAGGGTGCCATGGAGGATTTTTCAGAACATGTAGGCGGCAACTGCCAGGGTCAAAGATGAAAGGCGCCAGTCTCGCCTTGAGCCTAAGGCCGTCACCTGACTTTCACTCCCTCTTCTTATAGGAGCTGTGGCTTCTCTGGGGGCTCTGCTGCCAGGATACATCATCTTGACCTATAAGACCCAAGGACCCTATAAAATAAGAAACTGAAATATTTCGTGGGGTTTAAGGGCCTCTGGAGGAGGGTGCTCCAAAATGATTTTAGAGGGGTTGGTTGTCACCCTCTCCTATCCTGTTCATCCCCGGGGAGGTGGGGCTCGTGCAGGTCTCTCCTGCTCTCTCTGCATTCTGTGAATCCTCCTTTGCTCTCTCCAGATAATGGCCTGAGGACAATGTTATAGATTGCCTGAGATGAAAAAGTAATTTCATGTTTGGTCTTTTTAACAGCCAAATCCACGTAAAGAACATTTCAGATAACATTTAAAGTCATGACTCTACATAGAAATTTCCCTGATCAGCCCAACCTCCTTCTCCTTTTTTAAAAAGGACATCATATTTTTATCTGCCAGGAACAGCATGCTCCAAAACAAAGATTCTCCTCGAGCCAAGTTGCTGTCTCCTTGAGTATGTCCAGGCAATTTACAAATTGTATACTTTTTTCTCAAACCATTTCAGTTCAGAGGAGAAAGCGGCTTTGTTCCTGTGTGTGTGAAGTCGACCGCTCCAAGACAGACCTTTATTTGTACATACAAACACATGTGCACCCCGGGGCTGCTGACACACTGCTCCACTCCACATGCTTAGTCACACACACACACACACACTCTCTTTCACGCACTGACCCTGAGATGCAGGCACACTTCAACCACTGTACCCTAAATGCAAATAATATGTAAGCAAAACAATGTCAGAGACCTCCTAAATTGGCAGGACTTGGTGAGGGCGCATGTGGCAAGGAGGGTGGAGCTCTGGGGACTCTAAGGAGACTCTGGATCCAGCATTCTGCTCAGGGGGCACCCCGCCAGTTTCTCAGTAGGCGAACTGATTGTACAAGCCCCTATTGGCTCAGATCTGCACATTTCCAACTGCTCCTGCAAGGGAAAGACACCCTTGGGTTGCAACGTCTCCCTTCTGCCACACCAGCCTTGCAGCCCAGTTTCTGCCAGAGAAATATCAATCTGTCTTCAAGTTCATTGCTGACTTAGGTTTTAGTCTGTCAGACCAGGAGGGAGGCAGAAAGGGCATGGTCCAGCTGTGCTTTGAAGCAAATGGCTTTCAAGGAATTCTGTGCCTACAGCTAGATGAGATGCAAGGAATCTCCACTGCTAGCTTGGTTATAAGGCCAGGGTGGGTACTAGGCACGAGGGCAGTGCTGCTTTACCTCAGCTGAACCTTGAGCCCTCTCCTGATGCTCAGCGGAAGGGTCAAGGCCAAGGGTATAAGTAACTGCCTCTCTGGTAGAAAGACAGGGATGGGCCTTGCACGTAGATACTGCCCTAACCAGAGGCAGGAGGCAAAGCCCCACATCACCTGAAGGAAAAGGGAAGGGGGTGGGAAGTGTACGTGTTGAAAGATCAAAACTCTTGGATTACAGAATCAACTGTTGGCAGAGTTACAAAAGCCCACGTCATGTCCACAAATCAAGTCAGCTGATGCTGTGGCAAGGCAAATGCTAAGGTCAGAAGTTGTCATCTGTCAGAGGAGCCTGGAGTTGGGGCGGGGGTGGGGTGGGGGGAAAGGGGTGGGGTGGGGTTGAATGTCAGCAGCAGAGGCGTGCAGGCCTGGCTGAGCACAAAGCCCCATCTGCAACGAGTTCCCGTGAGGGGAGGGCCCACCTGTGATAAGGAGCACCCACAGTTGGAATACTGCTAACTTCCAGCTCTGGGATAAGGACAGAGGGTCTTGGGAATGAAAGAAGGAAGGTGTATGGGGGTGGGGGGAAGGACATTAGCCAAAAAGGGGGAATCATACAAAAACAAGTGGACAACAAAAGGGGAACCGGTGAGGGCCAGCACATTGGGCTCTGAGGCAGAGTTTGACCTTCCACTGGGCTGTGTGCTCCTGATCATGCCCAAGTAAAGATGCCTCTGGCTCTACCTCCTCCTCTATTTTATGGGCAGCAGTCCCAGAGGGCAAAGTCTCTAAATGCCTTGGGAATCCCAAGTGATGGCAGAGGGATAAACACCAAGTGTAGTTATTTATACAGTATCAGTTTCTGTGCCTTTGCCAAGTTATTCAAATGAAAGTTTAAGTAGAAGGGCTGGGAGAACAAACTAAGAGCGGCAGCACCCAGCCCTGCTCCTCTCTTTCTTTCTTTCCTTTGTTTGAAGACAGGAAAGCACCCGATTAGAAGCCCAGGGGCCCCAGCAACAACCCAGCTGGCTGCTTCCACAGGTTCTTTATTTTTTGGGGCAGTTGTGGCCAGTTGGGCGGCCCAGCCTGTCCACGCTCTATAACTGCTGGATTTATTTCACCCAGGCTTCAACCCGGGCCTGCCAGGAAGAGGAGGAGGTCCTAGCAACGCAAGAGCTGGGACAGCTGGAGCCGAAGGGAGATCCAATGCTCCAGTTCTATTCACATCAACAAAACCAGACTCATTCTCCCCTGCCTGCTGAAGGCATCCTGGAGAAACAGCGATGCCAGCGCACTGAACATACCTCCTGGGACTCGTGGCAGGTGTGCCCAAAGGACAACTGTGCATCCTGACACTCCAGCCTTTAGGGGCCCTGAAGAACCATGAAAAATTCAGCAGGCAATTTCCATCCTTCCCACCTTGCTCGCTTCTGCCTCAGGGCTGCCTGCAGGCATAGGTCTTCAGGCTTTTCCACTCAGGGGGACAGTTCTATTCCCTTTGAACTATTGTCAAGGGAGGGAGGAAATTATCAGCTCCTGCTATCAGCTTCTGCCCTACAGGCATATGACTTTGGTCCCAGGGAACTGATCTAAGGACAAACATCATGCTGGGGGATGAAGGAGAGGACAGTCCTGGTCACCCCCATGCCACAGCTGTGGGCTCAGAACAAGTGCTTTTGCATAGAAATCCCTGTAGGTCCATCCAGGAGGAGTAGAGCTTGGGCCTGGAGGCCGACCGCACTTGCTCTGTGATCCGAGACAAACTGCTCGCTTAACTGTGCCAAGATTTCCATTTTGTACAGTAGGAACAGAGATCATATTCCTCCTCACAGAACGGTAAGGAGAAGCAAAACTATTCAAAAAGTGATTTTTTAAAAATCGCATTCACTTTTCCTTCCTCTCATGACAAAACGACTCATGTTCATTATAGAAAGTTTAAAAACATAGAGGAGTATAATGAGGAACATAAATTACCTGGGATCTCACAAAGTGTTAACTTTTTGTATGGCAAGAAATTGAACCATACTGCTTTTTGAGAGATCAAGTAACCTTTTATTCTTCCTCCATTTTCATGTTTCCGGCTGAACACAAAGGGATAATTATTAAAGGACGAGTATTTCCCACTTCTGTGTCTGGATATGGAGTCTGTGGCACAAACAGGAAATAAAAGATGACCCAAGGCTAAATGGCGACCTTCAGGAAGTGGCCCTTACCCATGCGTAGCAGGAGTCCCCTGACCTCACCATGTGCGTTGCAGCTGCGGGCATTCTTCCAGAAAGCCCTGTGGACTGGAGGTGCTGGCAACACCATCTCTGGTGTGCTTCATTAGCATACTTGAGGGAGGAGGGTCTGGATCTGAGCTACAGGGAAGCTGGCTGGCCACCTGGCCCCCTTTGGCAGGGCCCTCCAAATGCCGGTCACTGCTCTCAGGCCAGCTCATCTGTCAAACACTTCCTGCCGGCCATGCACTTCGGGCGGGACAGAAAATGTGCTGTTGGCATGAACCAGGATGCCAGAGCAGCTCAGAAGATGCTCAGTTCTCCCTCTCTGCCCCACTCCTGCCCAGTCCATTCTTTGTCCCTCTCCTTTTTCTGGCTCCACTCTCTTTCGGCTTTTCCTTCATTCCTCCACTCCCCCCCTTCCATCATCTTTTCAGAGACCTTTTCAATTTACAGCGTGACCCTTTATCCACATCCATATACCGGGTCCAATCATCTCACAGCACATCCAGGGATCTATTCCAGACCTGCAGACAAATATTTATGTATAAAGATATTCTCCACAACAATGTTTATAGAAGGGAAAAGTTGGAAGTGACCTATATGTCAAGAGAAGTGAGGAAAAATGGTTCACTATTTTGGGGCATCAATGTAATGCCATAATATTCCACCATTAACATTATACTGCCTGATTGTAACATCTTCTCCTTGTGTAGATTCTAATTTGAACAACATGTAAAAAGCATTTATTAAACAATCAAGGAAATCTGAAACTGACTAATATTAATGATATTAAGAGGTTACCATATTCTTTAGGTATGATGATGGTATTGAAGTTATGTCTAGGACTAGAGTCCTATCTTTTAGAGACACAAACTGAAGACCTTACAGACTAAATTACGTGCGTCGGGGATTTGCTTAAAAATAATGCTGAGGGCACAAAGCCAGCGGGCTGGGTAGAGACTGGAGGATAGCAGCTGACGGTCTGTGAGTGACGGTGCGTGGAGATACGTGATGGCGCGTGGAGATACGTCATGCTGCTCTCTCTACTGCTGTGTGTATCAAGAGATAAAAAGTTTTAAAGAAAACAGCAAAATGTTATCTTTTTATTATAAAATAAGATCCTTATTTGGTCCTTCACCCTGAAGAGATTGTCTCCATAACAAGAACACTATGACAGTAGCTGCCTGTGCCTCTTTCCGGTGCAAGTAAATCTATGGTCACCATCACATAAAAAAAGCCCTGAATAACCAAAAAAGAGAAATGATTCCTGCATTTGAGTCCTAACATGGCCAAAAAGGTCACAGAAGCAGCCCAAGCTCTGTGCACCCTCCCAGCTGATGCCATTCACTGGGTGCCCAGGCCCAGCAGGGAGCCAGCTTGTATGGGTGTCCAGGGCCCGCGAATCCTCTGGGCCTTCCCTGATTCTTAGACACATAAACCCAGAATTGCAAGTGTTGGATGTTACTGTGGCAAAGCTTTTAAAATTCCCTAAATAAGCAACACAGTCAGTGGTTAAGTGATAGTGACCATAGATCTACTTGCACCGGGAAGAGGCGCAGGCAGCCGCTCTAATGTCATAGTGTTCTTGTGGCTGGGGACAAACTTTTCAGGGTGAAGGACTGAACAAGGTGTGAAGAAGGGCAGGGTCTCGAGCAAGGTGATATGTCTGACCAAAGCTCTTCCATGAAACTGGGATATGGGGGAGGAAAATGCAACACGAATATGTAAACACAGACCAATGTTGCTATAATGTAGGGTTTTAAAAATTATGTACATCTAGGAAATTAAATATTCTAAGTAGATGTGTGAGTAACTATTTCATCTATCTTCCTAAAAGCTGACATATCGAAAATGGCCAAAAGACAGCTGGAGTTCCTCGTTCAGCGTGCTGTTTATCACTGAGGGAGGGTCCTGGTCACATTTACCTGAAGAACATCCCTTCCAGGTGGTTGCGTGGCTTCAGGTGTGAACAGTTCAGGATGCAGGGCAGGGGGTGCAGCCTTGGTAGAAACACAGTCTCGCCTGGGTGCACTGGTGGGATGACCTGCATTGACATGGAGAACCGCTGCACCAGCATCCTGGCAAAGCAAGGGGCAGGAAAGCCTGGCATCAGCAGCCACACCTGGTCTGAGCTTGGAGGGAGGTCAGGGGAGGTCAGAAGGCTGCCCTGCCCTGTGGCAGGGCCCCGTGGAGACAGGACCAGGGGGGACAGCGCCACCTGCTGATGGAGGAAGGGCCGGTGAGCTGCAGACTGAAGAGCCCTTCTCCCTCCTACTCTGTCCTACACCCCACCCTCCCCCGCGGCTTTAGTCCAGGAGCCAGAAGTCCTGGCCCATCTGTTGGCTCTGTTCACTTCAAACTTTCACTGAGCGCCCAAGATGTGCGGGTGCCAGGTGCTGAAGGATGAGTCAGGCGTGGGCAGGCCTCGCATGCCCAAGGAAAGTGTAAACAAATCATGACCACAGAGCTGCCTACGCGGATTTCGAGGCCCAGAGGAGAGAAGTTGGGTGGCTGGGGTCAGGGAGGGTGTAGTGTATGAAGGAGCCTGGACTCTTCTGGCAGCTGTCCTCAGGCTCTCATGACAAGCAGAGCTCTCCAGGGAGCCTACTCGATATAGATGCCCATACCCCCCGTCCTGCCCTGACACTCTGATGCAATGGGTAGGAGCTAGCCCATGGCTGGGAGGGAACAGGGAGAAGAGGTATATGGGGGAGGGGAAAACCTATTCCAACTGATGACCCTATGAGGGAAGGGGGGAAATGGAGGTGGTTAAGATGATTCCTAAGATGGGCTCAATCTTTGCACCAGGAAGGGCTGGAATGTGCATGGGCCCCCAGCACCATGCCCTGGTAGGTGAGAGCAGCCAGCTGTAGAGAGGAAATGTATGTGGGTTCATGCATGTAGGTAGACACACAGACACGCACGTACACATTCTTATACACCCAGATGTGATCCAGGGTCATCCCTAGGGAACAGAATTTGGAGGAGGGGGAAGGAAGAGGAGATATTTCCTGTTTACTTCATGCAACTGTGTTCTGCTTGATTTTGTAGTAATGTAACATAGACTTATCAACAATGATAACCACAAAGTAAAAGAGATTATGTGGGCACTGCACTGTGTCCTCTCACCAGAGGACAGCCCCACAGCTGGGTCTCAGCAGGACCCTGAGATGGTGAGCAGAGCTGGGGTTTCCCTTAGGAAGTACGACACACACACTGAACTGGAGGTGCAGCAGCCTGGCTGGCCGACCAGATGCAATCTGCCCCACTTCCTGGCCAAGTGACTAAGGTGAAGTGCCAACCCGCATCACAGGCTCATCCTGAGGATGAAATGGCACAATGAATGGGAATGACGTGCAAAAGCCAGGGGCTGCTACTCATTCAGCCTTTTGGAAGCAGCCTCTGCAAACCCCCACACATGGCACAACAATTTTCTGTTTTGTTCATTTCTTTGCTGTTTGAGTTTTTGAGTATCTATGACTTCCTGCATTGCTCTTATAATTAAAAAAAAAATACAAGTAATTAAAAGTCTGTAAGAACTAGGTTCATCTGTAAAAGGGTCTTAGCTCTGTCTCCAAAACCATCATTCAAAGGGACTTTTGTGATACTAAATATAATGTATGTGCATTATTACGAGTTCAGAGATGACTCTCACATATCTAATTGAGGATTTCCTGAACTGAGGATAAAGGATATGTTGTGGTTTAAATAGCCTCCCCTCTACTACCCCCGCAGACACATAGGTCTTTTCACTTAAGGACATGAGGGAATGCAGGATGTTGTCCATTTAGGATGCCGGCCGATCCTAGAGCATGACTAGATGTTCTGTTTGGGATAAGTCGCTTCTTTCTAAGATGGGCGACACCGAGGCTAAGGGACTCCTGGTCACAGGTGACTTTTCTGCCAGAGGGTGGCCAGCCCCAGCTGCACCCCTTCTGGCCCTTGCTGGCCCCTGGCCCCATTTGGGGATGGAAGAGGCAGGGCTTTGTACATCAATCAGTAATTTTCTTTGAAGCAGAGAGTCGAACATTCCCATCAAAATGATCCACATCAAAACAACCACCTCAAAGTGGCTGTTGTCAAAAAGGCTTTTCCAAAGTACTACTTGAAAATGTCACAGGCCCAGAAAACTATCAGTGATTTTAAAGCCTGCAACATCTTGGTCTTCAGCTGGTTGCCCAGATAACTCCCTTTCTGTGGGGAATTTCAATACACTCACGGCATGATTTTTTGAATCCAGAATGTACTCAGCAGAAAGGCAAGGGCTACAGTTAGTCTCACTATGGAGATTTTATAAAGGTTTCAAAAGGGCTAATTCTGAGACTATCTAGCCAATGAGAACTGGAAGCTAAATCCATGCACCCCAAGTCAGAGAAAAAGTTGCTTTCATTACAGATGACATCACCAAGGCCTTGGCGCCAAGCCCTCCAATTCCATTTTGGTCTCCACGCTCTACCAGCAGCCAGTTCTGGGAAACACCACACGCTGCACCCACAACACCCCTTCACTGACTCTGCCTGTTGACACGGCTGCACAAATCAGAAGGTTCACAGACCTTTGGGGTAAAAATTGGTACTAGTTAGGAGGAGACCAGGATTTTCCTCATCTAGGCCAGGGGCTGGCAAACCACACTGTGTGGCCACTCCCTGTTCACAAGGCTGATGGGCGTGTTCCCAGTCGACAGCAGAGCTGAGTGAGCAGTTGCAACAGAGACTGTGTGACCCTAAAGCCTGAAGTATCTATTTTCTAGATACTGACTCCTGATCAAGTCCAGAGATGATTATCAGAAAAACTCGAGAAAAAGGCAAACGACCAGCCAAGTTGTTGTTCAGCGTCATCTCTGGGCAACAATAACAAGCCTAAAAGGGGAGCCCTCCAAGAAGTCTGTGTTATCACACTACAATCCCCTAGTAAGTGTATTTTATTTCCCTCCCCCTAGTAAGTGGATGCTAACTTAGCATGTGTAGCAAAACAACTTATCACTGCTTGGACCAAGCATTATTAGCACTATAATAAAACAGGCTTACAGAAGAAGCCAAACCTGGACAGACAGATATCCCAGAACATGTTGACCAACCTGCCTCCAGACACATTAGCTCTCCTTCCTGAGGTCCATACTAGCACATGGCCCCCAAGTGTTCCCCTCATCCTTAGCAGCATCAATCCCTCTCCCCCCTTCATTAGCACACAAACATGCTTTAACTTCCTCCATGAAAGGGGGAGGGTGGGGAGAGGGAGGGAAAAAGAAAAAGAAAGGCAGACAGAGAGAAAGGTCTATCCTGGCTAGCCCCACTTCCTCCTTCAGCTGATGCCCATTTTTCTCTTTTCATCTCTCCTTCTGTTCTCCAATTGCAGTCAGGTTTGCCCGCAGTCTACCAGAGCTACTCTGGTCAAGGTCACCATGACCTCGTGCTGTAAGGGCTGCCAGCAGCCCTGCAAACACCCTTCTCACTGCTCTTCCCATCTGACTTTCCTCCTATCTGCCCAGTCTCTTCCTTGTGACCCCCAACACTGCAGGGCTCCATGCCCCCAGGTTCTTGCTGGTCTGTCTATATACTCCGGGTCCTCAAAAGACCACACTAGACCCTGACACACAAGAGGTGATCATATATTTCTTGCATTGATAAATGAATGTGGGTTTAACAGAAGGAGGCAGCTTAAAAATACATAAGTGGGTGGGCCTCCCTTGTGGCGCAAGGGGTTAAGACACAACCTATGAAATTGTCCGCAGCCACTGCAGCATGAGTTTGATCCCCGGCCAGCCAGGAAGCAACCCACATGGCACAGCAGACCTCTCCTAACTCTTCAATCAATCTGCCTGTTCTGTTCCCCACTCTGTCTCTGGTGAATCTTCTTACCCCCCAACACCTCTGGTCTGTACCCCAGTTCTTGTATGCATAAATAAATAAATCTTCTAAAAAAATACATAAGTGGGGCCTCCCTCGTGGCACAAGGGGTTAAGACATAACCTATGAAGCTATCTGCAGCCACTGCAGCATGAGTTTGATCCCTGGCCTGGGAGCTACCCACATTGTGCAGCAGATCTCTCCTGTCTCGCTTGCTGCTCCCCTCAGCAGTGTATTTCAGTCAATCTGCCTGTTCTGCTCCCCACTCTGTCTCTGGTGAATCCTCTCACCCTCCCATGTCTCTGGCCCGTACCCCAGTTCTTGTATGTGTAAATAAATAAATCTTAAAAAAAAAATACATAAGTGGGCCTCCCCGGTGGCGCAGCGGTTGACCGCTGGGCTGCGAAGCTGCCTGCAGCCTCTGCAGCACCGGTTCGATCCCCAGCCGCCTGGCGAGGGTCCCACATGGCGCGCAGATCTCTCCTGCCACGCCTGCTGCACCCCTCAGCAGTGTCCTTCGTTGGTCTGCCTGTTCTGCTCCCCGCTCTGGCTCTGGTGAATTCTTTCACCCTCCCGTGCTTCTGACTGTACCCAGTGCTTGTATAAACAAACAAACAAACAAACAAATAAATAAATAAATAAATAAATAAATAAATCTAAATTTATCATCAGTGGTAAACAAGTGGGTGGTTAAACTGAGAAGACCAAAAGGCCAGCACTTCAAGCCTTTGCCTTAAAGGGAGTGCGGGGTCTCCACCCCAATGGATGTGTCCTTGCCCCCCACTTGCTTCTGGTCCCCAACCTTCTTCTCACTCTCCATCTGTGCCTGCTTCGCTGACCTGTGTTCAGGTGTGAAAGGTACTTCATCTTCATCGAGATCTAGGGAGTTGAGGTCAGCACAGTTCTGTAGAAGCTGCTTCTCTCTCTCCAGCTCCAGGGTCTGCTCCCTGCAGGGAGAAGAGAGCCAGTGACAAAGGCAATTGCTGCTCTGGCCAACGGAACATATCACTGGTCTGTAGGAACCCCAAGAGCACAGCCAGGCCAAGGGTCAGGGTGTCAGGGGGTTACAATGCCCTGGTCTCCCTGCTCAAGGGCTCTCAAACGTAGATCTTGAAGGCAGTTGGGAGGGACTGCATCGCATCATCTATATGCTCCTAGCAGGCAGAAAAGAGCAGACAGGTCCTACAGAATATGACGTCATGTAATTTCAAATGTGCCTTTATTTGTATACCTTGTTATGGCATTTGCTCACTTTTTAACATACCAAGGCCTGCGCCTAATCCTTATGCTTCTCCTGGGTTCCAGCCACACTGACCAGGGGAGACCTTCACAGCCAGTGGCTCGCCAGAGTCCCTGACACATGCCTGCCTCCCTGGCCCCAAATGGCTGTTCTCCAGATCCTGTTCGTCTCCATCCCTTCGCGGCCCCCTGCTCTTCACTTCAGCGGCCTGGAGTCTCCATCTCCTGCCAACTGTCCCTGAGCTCTTCAGGGACTTTCAACCAAGCCCCACCACAGACCCTGCCTGCCAGCCACTATCTACCTTCCCCTTTCTCCTGCCCTAACCACACCTCAAACCCTGAGCGCCTTTTCTCTGTCCGCCTTTTCTGTCCTTCTTGAGGGAGCCCTGGGAGCCTCCCCAGCCCTTATACTGCCTTGCCAGGAGCTGGCGCTGGTTTTGCCCACAAAGACATTATTTCCAGCCCAAGTCTCTGTCTTGAGTTCAGCTCAAGACAGCTCTTCCTAGCCAGTCATTAATTGGGTGATTTCATGCTGAATATTCTGGGGCTCCTCTGATGCCAAATGTCCAATTCTAAGTTCCTCTTCCCCACACATGCTCTGGCATCCCAGCTCAGAAGATTCAAGAGCTCTATCACTCGCCTCCCAGGGGCCCCATTCAGGGAGCTGGGTGTGAGCTGCTCCCTAGGGTCCCATCTTATCACACCATTCATCCTATTTCTTCTCTAACCCTCTCTCCATAATGCAGCCAAGTGTTCATAAGGTCTCTTGTGACTCAATCCCTGTTCACATCTTGGCTGTGTCTCCTGGCATAACCACCCCCCTCCACTATCCTCTCCCACACCCAGAGGTTCAGTGCTAGCTGGCCACCAGATTTCCATCCTACCCTCCTTTGTATATAAGGTCACGCCTGCTGTCCTCCAAAATTTTATCATTCAAGATTCAAGGACAAGGGCACCTCTGGGGAGCCTTTTCTGACCCCCAGGTAAAGTTAGGTCACTCTTCTGGGTCCTTTGATAGAAGCTTTATTATATGGGAAATGCTCTAAACATGTGAATTTCCAGGGAAGCAGGGGCTGCACAATCATCTCTGTAGACCCAGTGCCCAGCACAAAGCCAGAACCTCTGCTGGTGTTGCAATGATGAGCATGAATGGAGGTTCCCTGCAGAAGGTGTCTGCAGATACTTTCAAGGACCCACCGTATTTACACACCGTGCTGGGCAATAACACAGATGAATGTCCTTTCCTAATGTACAATCTAGTTGGGAGAAAATATACTCAGGAGAGTTAAACAACAAAAGTGGTGGGCTAGTAAGAATCCAGAGTATCTGGGGGTGGAGATGACGCTGGGGTGGGCCAGAGGGCTGGAATGGACAGAGAAGAGAAAACAATAATTCATTATACACAAATGTTTCACTCCCTCCATGAGCAAGAATACGGGTTTGTGAGAAATATAGAGAGGAGCAAGGCATCATCCTGCCCAGAAGAAAAGGCAAGATGGAAACCACAGCATTAGAAATAGCCTGCCCTCTGCTTACACTTAGCTCCTACAAGTGGAGGTGGATGTACTAAGCAAAAACAAAGCAAAAAGGGCCTCCCCTGGTGGCGCAGCAGTTGAGCGCTGGGTTGCGAAGCTGCCCGCAGCCTCTGCAGTGCCGGTTCAATCCCTGGCTACCGGCGAGGGTCCCACATGGCGTGCAGACCTCTCCTGCCACCCGCTGCTCCCCTCAGCAGTGTATTTCGTTGGTCTGTCTGTTCTGCTGGCTCTGGTGAAATCTCTCACCCTCCCGCGCTTCTGACTATACCCAGTGCTTGTATAAATAAATAAATAAATCTTTAAAAAAAAAAAAAACAAAGCAAAAGGAGAGAGGACAAAGAACGAAGCAATGAGCAATCTTCTCACATTCCACCAAAGAGCACGAACAGGAGTAAAGCTCACGCTAACACAAGAGTGGCTGTCCCTGGTCTTGTGTAGTGTGAGGAGCCTGCAGTGTGGAGTAGGAATCTAGGGTTTGCAGCCAAAACAGGCTCTCAGGATTGGCCAACTTCACCTGGCATTTGGCTGAAGAAAAAGCACCTGTTGGTGCTCCGCTCCCCTAAGGGATTTCTACTTCTGACGGGTCACAACTTTTGTCTTTAGAAACCAACTTCTACATGTGCTGTGGCTCCCTGTAACATCAGGGAGAAGGCAGATGTGAAACAGATGAAGGGCTGTGGGAAAATGAGCAAAGAGCACTCAAGTGCTGGTGTTACATACAGCAGGAAATGCTGGAAACTTCACATCTGCCCTAAATTACTGTCGAGGCAAGAGGTTGCACACCTCGGCGTCAAAACTATCTGCTCTTCCCCCTTCTCTCTAATGGATCACTTGAATGAGAGTTGAGAGAGTGCCCAAATGGACATGGATTGGGCAGAACAAAGCCAAGGTGGAGAGAGGATCGGAAATGGGGGTCTGTACGTGGTGGGCAGTGGGTGGGCGTGAAGCTCTCTGCCCCAGGATGGGATGGCTCAGGACTGATCGGAGTGCACAGGGCACTGCCGGAGGCATGCTGGGCAGGGTGGGGGAGGCTGCTTCACACTGCAAGGAAATGTCTGTGAGTCTTAAAGGATGTTCCCCCTCCCCAAATTACTGCCAAAAGCACAGGAAATCAACACCCCAAGATGGTCCCTCTCCCACACTCACCTCTTCTCCTGCAGTAAGTAATCCAAGCTATTGATGTAGCTTCCTGAGCCCTCACAGGTGAGCTGGAGACAGGACATGGGAATGAAGAAGAAAGACAAACATAGAGGGGCAGCAGAGTAAATTTTAATCTGAATTAATTCCTTTGTTTACTTTTCTACATAGGTAATATATTCATATGATTAAAAAATCAAGAAGTATACAGGCATCAGTGGCCCCCTTAACTGTGGTTTCAGTTACCTGCAGTCAACTGTGGTCTGAAATATTATATACAGTAAGATATTTTGAGAGAGAGAGAGACCATATTTTATTACAGTATATTGTTATGATTGCTCTAATTTATTACTTACTGTTATTATTCTTTTACTGTGTATAATTAATAAGTTAAAGTTTATCATAGGTATGTATGAATAGACAAAAAACTGTATATATAAGATTTGGTACCATCTGTGGTTTCAGGCATCCTTTGGGGGTCTTGGAACACATTTCCCTCAGATAAGGGGGGACCACTATAAAGTAAAATATTTCCCCCTCACCTCCATTCCCAGTCACCCTGGCCCCTCTCCACAGGTGACTCGGGTATTCATTCCTACATGGAATGTCAGAGATATTTTATGCTTAACTAGGCAAACAGTAATATATCATAGGTTTCCCCATTTAATACAAATGGTAGCAGGCTATACATCCTATCCTACATTTGGTTGTTTTCAATAAATAGTATGTTTTTTTTTTTTTTAAATAGAGGCATGTTTTATTTATTTATTTGTTTGCTTGTTTTGTTTTATACATGCACTGGGTACAGTCAGAAGCACGGGAGGGTGAGAGAATTCACCAGAGCCAGAGCGGGGAGCAGAGCAGGCAGAAGGACCAGAGTACACTGCTGAGGGGAGCAGCGGGCGGCAGGAGAGGTCTGCGCGCCATGTGGGACCCTCCTCTGGTGGCCGGGGAGCAGCCGGGGATCGAACCGGCGCCGCAGAGGCCGCGGGCAGCTTTGCAACCCAGCGCTCAACCACTGCGCCACCGGGGAGGCCCCAAATAGTATGTTTTGAGGGTCATTTCTTATCAATAACAAAGAAGTAATTTAAAAAAAAATTTTCAGGGGCCTCCCCGGTGGCGCAGTGGGTTGAGTGCAGTGCTGTGAAGCTGTCCGCTTCCTCTGTAGCATGGGTTTGATTCCTGGCTGGGCAGGGAGATACTCACATGGTGTGGCAGACCTCTCCTCTCTCGCCCACTGCTCCTCTCAGCAGTGTATTTCAGTCTGTCTGCCTGTTTGGCTCCCCACTCTGTCTCTGGTGAATCCTCTCACCTCCCAAACCTCTGGCCTGTACTCCAGCTCTTGTGTGCATAAACATATAAATTTTTAGAAAAAACTATGAAAAAAAATAAAAAAATAATTTTTTTTCAAGGTATTCTGATGTATGACAAAAAATAAAAAAATAAAATTTTTTTTCAAGGTATTCTGATGTATGACTAAAACATAATTAGCTCCCTAGTGGTGGACTTTCAGGTTATTAACAATCTTGGGCTATTATAAACAACTGAAGCCCTCATCTTAGATTAAATGTTCTGGATTTTTGGACCCTTAAATGTTCCCATAGTCCACCTAACATAGTCCCAGCAGTGTATTCCCAACTTGAAGTTAATTTTGGAAGTTTCCAGAAGGAATCCTAGTCCACTGAACCATTATCAGTCCAAGTCTTTGTGTCTGACATAGCCCAGACTCTGGCACCAAGGCCTCTCTTTTCTCCAGAGCCATATGCCCAACCCAAGCTGTCAAAGTCTGAAGGGCCCCACACAGGAACAGCAGCAAATTTGGCACTAGCCCAAGCCGTCTGTTGGCAGGAGTTAGGAGGGGGAATAAAGGGAGAGGTCTTGGTGACACAAGCTCTCCACAATAAACCTGGGTGGGGAGAGGTTGGGAGTGTGCAGCCAAGGAGAAATGGTCAAGGGAGGTGGCCAAAGAAGGGCAGCTGGGGTGTGCCCAAGGAGTGGCCAAAAAGTGGCCATGTATGACTGAGGAGGGTCGGCTGAAGAGGGCAAGGAGAGGGAGGCCTGGGTGGCCACTGGCTTACCGAGGTGTGGGTGTCCACCACCGGGTCTGCAGCCTTCTGGCTCGGGCCTGCCAGGTTCAAGAAGAGTTCCTCCAGTGAGGCCAGCTCCCCCTTGGGGTCCATGTCTTGGGGTTCCTGCTCTAACTCCTCTGGTAGCTGGGAGGCTTGTCTTCTCAGGCCCTGGGGTCCCGCTGCGCCAATCTGCGTCTGGGCTAGGGCCCCGCTGCCGGCATGGGGTGTCCTGGGGTTCAAGAACTCTATAGGTGGTGGGCTCCAGTCAACAGGGAACATGTCTCCGGCTGCCTGCATCTTGGGCTTCTTCCGCAATTTAGGAGTTGGAGCTGAGTTGGGGCTGCAGAGGCGCCGAGAGGAGCGGAGGTGCAGGGGATGGTTGAAGACATTGCGCTTCAGGGTGGGTAAAGGGATGGGCAAAACTGCGGCGGCCTGGACGCCTGTGGACAGGACAAAGCGCTGTGGGCCCCAGCCCACTTGTCATCATCCCAGTTGCTGTGCTACATTGGTCAAGGAGAGCGGACAACTTGGGATAGCTGTGGGCAAGATGCCACAGCTTCCCCTGTTAGTGTAAAACCTCAAAAGACTCCACCTGTGCTGGTGGGAGGACCTACCTTCTCTGTGAGGAAGGGCTAGCCGGGTCTTCTGGGGCCTGGCCATGTGCAAACCACTGGATGCTTGGTCCTGGAAGAAACTTCCCGTCAGTCAGGTTAGCCTCCACAAGAAAGCTGGCCCCGGGGTCCTGCAGAGGTGGGCCCACCAGTGCCCCAGAGAGCTTCCTCCTCCAGTCCCACCCCAAGAATTGAGCACAGGCACCACAAAGCTCAAGTTGCTGAGGTGAAGGGGACTCCACCTGACCTCTCGTTTCAAGGAGGTTATGGGCAAGTATAAGGACATCAACACTTTTAAACCTGCACAAGATTAAAGCAAGCAGAGCCCAGAGGACAGCCTGCACCAGGCAGTGTTGCCCGTGAGGTTGTCTGCTCACAGGGGCAGGGCAGGAGAGTGTGGGCCCTGCCATTTCCCCAGCACCAGCACAGACCAGGAGCATAGGAGAGCTCAGTGCATTTCTATTGAATGAATGAGGAATTTAAAGAGAACTTGGGGTCAATCCAACAAGCTATCTTCAGGGTTAGGAGTTGCCTGTCAGCTAAGACAGAGTGTACCACATAAGCAGACATCACTCATCATATCAAGCCCCGGCCCAGATAAACGGGGATGCAGAGGAAAGCTAATACCTGAATGAGCTAATGATCAAAGGAAACAGCAGTTTACAAGAAACACAAATACTAAATTGACAAGGGTTCAAACTCAACAATCATAAAAGAAATTCAAATCATGACTACCAAGTATCATGAAAAAAAACACTGAAATAGGGGAGAGACAAAAATAATGAAATAATAAAACAAATTGAATATTTATAACACCAAATGCTGACATAGCTATCAGGAAGTACACTACTGTTATCACTGTAAAATAGTTTATTCTTTTTTAAAAATTTGTATTTATTTATTTTACATTAAACACAACTGCTTGTATTTTTATTTATTTATTTATAAATAAATAAATAATTTTATATAATTTTCTTAATTATATAAATTTCTTAATTTTATATAATTTTATATAATTTTTATATCATTTTTCATTTTTGTACAATGTATGCATTTACATCTTGGTGATAGTCCCTGTACAATTCCCACCACCCTTGTTTTGATCCTACTCCTTTCTTTCCCTCCTGTAGTGTGACTCTGGTTTATAGTTGCTTGTTGATTTTGATTTTTACTTTACTATAATTAGTCTTTTTCCTGATCCCTTATTTAGGTTTTCTAAATTCCTGCTACGAGTGAGACCATCCGGTATTTTTCTTTTTCTTTCTGGCTTATTTCACTGAGCATGATCCCTTTCAGCTCCATCCATGTTGCTGCAAACTGCATGAGTTTAACTTTTTTCATTGCTGAGTAATATTCCATTGTGTATATGTACCACATCTTTTTTTTTTTTTTTTAAAGATTTATTTATACAAGCACTGGGTACAGTCAGAAGCGCGGGAGGGTGAGAGACTTCACCAGAGCCAGAGCGGGGAGCAGAGCAGACAGGCTGAAGTACACTGCTGAGGGGAGCAGCAGGCGGCAGGAGAGGTCTGCGTGCCATGTGGGACCCTCACCAGGCGGCTGGGGATCGAACCGGGGCTGTGGAGGCTACGGGCAGCTTCGCAACCCAGCGCTCAACCGCTGTGCCACCGGGGAGGCCCTGTACCACATCTTCTTGATCCAGTCATCTATTTTGGGCATTTGGGTTTTTTCCATAGCTTACCTATTGTAAATAGTGCTTCAGTAAAACATAGGGGTGTAGGTGCCCTTTTGAATTAATGTTTCTGTGTCCTTTGGGTAAATACCTAGGGGTAGAATTGCTGGATCATATGGAAGCTCCATCTTTAGCAGATTGAGGAAACTCCACACAGCTCTCCATAGTGGTTGGACCATTTTGCTCTCCCACCAGCAGTGAGGGAGAGTTCCTTTTTCTCCACATCCTTGCCAACATTTGTTGTTGCTAGTTTTTTTTTCAATATGTGCCATTCTCACTGGTGTAAGATGGTATCTCATTGTAGTTTTGATTTGCATTTTCCTGATTATCAGTGGTGTTGAACATTTTTTCATATGCTTGTTGGCCATTTGCATTTCCTCCCTGGAGAAGTTTCTTTTTAGCTCTTCTGCCATTTTTTATTTACTTTGTTTTTGTTGAATCTCGTCAGCTCTTTGTAGATTTTTGTGATCAGTCCTTTATCATTAGTGTTGTGTGCAAAAATTTTCTTCCAATCAGTGGGGTGTCTCTTTTGGTTACTGTCTCTTTTGGTGTACAGAAGCTCTTTAATTTGATGTAGTCCCATTCTGTTTATCTTTGCCTTCATTAGCACTGCTTTGGGTGGTGTATCTTTAAAGATGTTACTGAGGTGCATGTCATGTAGTGTCTTACCTATACTTCCTTTTATATATTTTATGGTTTCAGGTCTTCTGTCTAGTTCTTTAATCTATTTTGAGTTGGTTTTTGTGCATGGCATAAGGTAATAGTCAAGCTTCATTCTTTTGTATAGTGACCCAGTTTTCCCAGCACCATTTATTTATTTATTTTCCAAATACTGTTTACTTCGCTGAAACCTGCAAACAGGCAAAAGGTATGTGATGTCTGGGATATCCCACCTAGGAGTGCACATTGACAACAGCGACATATAATATATAGGGCCAAGGTGCTGAGGGCTAGCAGCCCTGTCACCACCACTTGGGCCAACAGTGCTATCCAGCTACCCAGGGAACAGAGGTGGACAGAGGTCTCCAAGACAAAGGCTTTGTAGACACTAAGGAACATCAGCAGGAGGACTGCCGGTCTGAAAGTGTGGTACAGGTCATAACGTGTTATCATCCAGACCTGGGCAGATGCGACGATGTAATGGACTAGACTGATGTTGGAATCAATGCTCATCTGGATGTATTTCTAGTCAAACTCAATGCCTCAGGCTCCAACCCAGAGTGGGATGCAGCGGGACATAATGAGCTCAGCTGTGGCCCAGCCCAGGGGAGCAACCATGATCTTGTATTCCCCCTTGCCGGCATTCTGGGACATGACAAGGTTTAGGCCTATCAGGTCTGCCACATCCACGCTGGCCTTCATGAACTTCCCAATGAAGTCATAAATGCCACCTTCCCAGGTGGGAAAGAAAGTGGCCAGAAACAGCATCTTGCACAGCTGCACAAAGAGGTAGGTGGCCTTGGCCTGGACACACTTCCAGAAGGCATTGTACTCGGACAGGCAGCTGCACTTGTACGTAATGAAGTAGGGGAAGTAGGCCAGGGCGAAGCAGTTCCCGAAGTGAAACAGCATCATGGCGCTGGCTGCCCGGCCCATGGAGAGGTGCGGCGGGGGTCTCGGAGCCCCCAGCAATCATTTATTGAACAAACTTTCTTTGCTCCATTGCATATTTTTTGCTCCTTTGTCAAAGATTAGTTGACCATAAATTTGTGGGTTTATTTCTGGCTTTTCTATTCAGTTCCATTGGTCTGTGTTGTCTGTTCTTGTTCCAATACCATGCAGTTTTGATTATTATGGCTTTATAGTATAGTTTGATGTCTGGGCGTGTGATACCTCTATTCCCTTCTTTTTTTTCAGGAGAGCTTTGGCTATTCAGGGTTTTTGGTGACTCCATATAAATTTCATCAATATTTATTCTATTTCTTTGAAGAATGTCATTGAAATTTTATTTGGAATAGCACTGAATCTGTAAATTGCTTTTGGGAGGATGGCCATTTTGATATGTTAATTCTTCTAATCCATGAGCAGGGGATGTCTTCCATTTCTTTTTTTTTTTTTAAAGATTTATTTATTTATGCATACAAGAGCTGGGGTACAGGCCAGAGGCACAGGAGGTGAGAGGATTCACCAGAGACAGAATGGGGAACAGAACAGGCAGATTGACCAAAGTACACTGCTTGAGGGGAGCAGCGGGTGAGTCAAGAGAGGTCTGCTGCGCCATGTGGGTTGCAACCTGGCTGGCCGGAAATCAAACTCGTGCTGCAGTGGGTGCGGACAGCTTCATAGGTTGCGTGTTAATCCTTGCGCCACTAGGGAGGCCCATCCATTTCTTTGTGTCTTCTTTTATTTCTTTTTTTTTAATTAATAAATTTTATTTTTATATTCCCCATATAATTGCAATCCCCCCATTCTGACCCCAATCCCTCCCCTCCCGCCCCCCACCCCCCAAAAAGTGTCTCTGGTTCATAGTTTTTGTTGATTTTGATTTTCACTTTCTTATAGTTATTCATTTTCCTGGTCCCTTATTTAAGTATTCTAGATTCCTGCTATGAGTGAGACCATCCGGTATTTTTATTTCTTTTAACATAAAATGGTTTATTCTTTTTAGAAAGCAATCTGTCAATATAAAAATAACTACCAAAATGTCCATACCTGTGAACTCCAAAAATCAGTTTTTCCACAAAAGGAACAATTAAGTTGGCAAAAACTGTCAAGAACCAAGAGTTACAGAACCCTGGATTCCAATAAAAAACTAGCAACAAGAGGTAAGGGCTTAATGAAGAAAGAAGCTGCTAAATTTCATTAAGATTGCTTTCTGACTCTTGAAATTATCTTCCTTTCATCCCACACCCAGCTCAGAGGCTGCATGGGGTCTCCATTCCTGGTGTCACTGGCTAGTGCCTCCAGGGACAAGCAAACTTTGTCCTCACAGACAGATTACATGTTTGGACCTGTCTCATGGCTCCCTGAGGGATCACCCAGGGCCTTGCCTTTGTTTTACCCACCTTGGCTGAGGTGAAAGTCCCAGCAGAGAGTTAAAGGAGCACTCCAAGACAAAGCCAATCTGTAAGGCTCAGAAGTTCTTTTTTTGACTCTAGGCAACTAAGGAACTCTATCAAATCACTAACTGACCACCAAGGTAAAGGAACAGCAACTTCAGTGACCACACACAATAAAACAACGCAGTTTTTACAAAAATGGTTTAGAAAACTGGAAAATATGAATGATATGTTGTGGAGAATGAAGAATGTTGGTTTGGATCTAGTAGCTCCTTCTTTCTGATATTTATAGTCTTCAACTCCTTCTACTATGTCTAGTCAATATGAAAATGTATTTCTGTTTGAATGTTAACTGACTCATGCTGCATATGGACAGCTGAG